ATGGCGACCACAAGTGACCTTTGAGATTTTCTTAATCGAAGATAAAATCGATTTTTTCCGACACGATTGAACTCTCATTTCGACTTCAGAGCAAATAAATGAGAAATATTTTTCTTCATTCGAAACTCGTTACAAAAATTAGATTAACCTCGAAAACATCTGCTCACTTATTCTCTATATCAACAAACATTATGATTCTTCCTGCATTTACAAACACATATCCATGAAACACCTCCTTTAGCCAATGACAAGAAGCTTTCATACAGATTTTCAAATGCTCGCCATTTTCATCGATTGCCAAATTAATAGATAAATTAGCATAATCAGGCATTTAATTATCATTTTTTTAACAATGTAAAATTACTGGATTGATCTAAAACATCGTAGCATATTTTAGTAGGTGGCATTTAAATACGTGATTTCGTTTCACACGTGACATATACACATATTCTGAAAGCTAACATTTCTGCACGTTTTTCTCTACGACCCGTGTGTGGATTGTAAATTTTAACTCTTCTTACGTTAAAATCAAAATAGAGGAAAATAAAATGCATTTTATTCATCTATTGCTCTTGTATTTTCTGAAAAAAAAAAAAAAAAAAAAAAAAAAAAAAGAAAATGCAGTCTAAACTGCAAAAATGATCTATGCTATTTATAGAGATGGTGCCGTAGCTAATTGTACTGTTGGCAAGCAGTTTATTAGAAATGGACATTTTGATTCCAGCAAGTTTTGAGACGTTTATGATAGTCAAATCGAAAGGCTGATTGAAAAATAATCACAGGATATTGCAGAGGTACTCGACTTATATCAAATCTGAACGTTGAAACACTTGGGTACCTGAATCGCTATGATGTTTGAATGATTCACAATTAACGGAAAAAATGTATGGGCTGCATTTCCATTTGTAATCCTCTACTGAAACGGGACAAAAACAATCACAAGCGTTCAAAAATAATTTTGAGAAAAGAGAATGCTTGAAAGAGAAGGTGATGCTGTGTATCTGGTAGAATTGGAAGGGAATTGTGTACAATGAACTCTTTCTGCCAAATCAGACATTGAATCCAGCCATGTAGTGTTCCCGATTAGAACGATTAGAGGCGGCAATCGATGAATAAGCATTCCTTATTGGCTAATCGGGTGTCGTCTTCAGGACAATACCTGGCTTGTCGTCACTCCGCAGACCGTAGTACTCACCTGAACATTCACCTTCGGATCCATGCAAAATTCTCTTAATGGAAGAAACTCTGGGAGGATAGAATTATGAAGTTGCTTTAAAAATTGGAAAAGATACTGGAACAATATGACAACATATAGGGTTGGATAAATCTAGGTACAAATATCTAAATATGGGCTTTGAAATTTAAAAAAATGCTGTGTACTTTTGTTCCAAACCAATATTTACTTTGCTAGCGAGTACTAAAAGACTAAAATAAGCGGGATACAAAGACAGAATGGTTGTAGCAGTAAAGACAGAAGGGTGGTAGCAGTAAAGTCATTGCGAAGTCAAACAAAATACCGAACGTCTCGACAAAGTTTCAAATTCAAATAAAAATTTGAAAGCCACGGCAATTTTCTTGCCACCATCAGAATTTGTTGTCACTTTATAAATATTCACCTATTTGATAAATAAATTCCATCCTACACATGATATCACTATTTTATAAAATAGACCTTGCTATTATTTGAGCTCGACTAGCGACCTTTGATACTAATTGTCAAGCAGGCACCTGCACACACGCGTATATATATATATATATATATATATATATATATATATATATATATATATATATATATATATATATATATATATGAGATAAGGTATTATGATTACTTAGTTATTTACATTATTCGGACTGTTAATCTCGTCACTGAAAATAAGAAAACTTAAGGAATCAGAAAATATGCTAGGCCACAAAAAGATCCTGAGCTGACCAAGCATAGAAATGAAAACAGTATGGGAACCAGTAATAAGGAGTTGGCCCAGTGGATAAAGGCATTGGTTAGATCCAGTGACTAGACTCAAAGAGTTGTGAGTTCAATAGCTGGTTACAGCAGTGGTGAACCAAGAAAAAAACCTTCAGAGTTGAGTTAAAAGAAAATAACAGACATCCGGAAGAGGCATGGCTCGTGGATCTAGAACAACCTACCTTGGTGGAAGAAATTAAAGAATTTAAATAATAATAATTTTTAAATAATAAATCAGTTTCATGATCGCAAAAGCGTGAAGCCCAGGGTCACAAAGAAAACAGAAAATGAGCCTGTCCTACGGCCGGTAGTTTAAAAAACGGAGCCTTCTACTCAAATACGGTTATCCACTAAAAATATATATGAGAGCTAGTTAGGACTATATAGAGACTATAAGGTATTATAGTGACTGTAGTAAGAATGGTAATTAAGAATGTGTTGTTTTAGGTGTAAGATATGTTTGGTTCAGTAATCGTGGCTAGATAAGTTTAAAATAAGACAGACTGAAGACCAGCCTTCCCCTATCCCTCCTTTTGGCCTTGTGCCATATTTTTGTATTAAATCAAGGCGAATATTATATCCACTAAAAATAACGTTTGAATTATATGATAAGGTTGTACTGTTTTGAAATAGACTATACTCACATGAGGTAATTTTGGACATTTTACTGTATAATATATATGCTCTCTTATAATAAATACATTGAGCTCTCTCTGCGGATCAGTTTTAATATCTAATATTACTAGGATCCACTTGGATTATATACCAATGGATCTATTACCTGTTATATATATATATGTATGTATTATAAATTTACTAATTTAAAAATATGGTTCCATCGCTACACAGGAATTACCATGTTTCGAAAACAGAAACTAAAAACTTCAAATTTACTTCTAGAATCAAATTAAAGTCCTTAGTCCTGTTTCATTTTCAAGCGAATTTTGGAATAACTTATTTTGAAATTTACTGAGTTTTATAAGCACATACATTCATAATATTAGTTTCTATGGATATGGGAAAATTCAATCATTTTGAGAAGGGGTGGTAGGGTATTCCTTTTCACTGACAACTATTGTATCAAAATATGAGTTACTTTAAGTTAAATTAAGGTAGGGTCGCTGCTGGATGTTGACTTACATTTACACATGCTCTATCCCTGATATTGAGATTAAATATAGCATATCTTAAAACTATATATATATATATATATATATATATATATATATATATATATAATGACTGACTATATGAAGAGTTGACATAACTGAATCAAATTATTACTATGGAAGCTCATTGTCTTCCATTTTCCATTTGAAATTCTTTCTGAGCCTCTTTTAAGCACTACAGTCACTATCTTTCTATATTCTACGAGACGCTTCTACTGCATTTGTCCCAAGTTTATGCTCGTACATCAGACGGAAACATGTGGATGCTTCTTATTACTATTGTAGGTATATTCTTCAGAAGCTTATTTGGTAGTAAATAATGTATATATCTTTCTTGTTCTTTGAACTGCTTAAGTTTTCGACTTGCTAGTCCTGCCTTCTATCATTTTACTTGAAGAGAAAATAAAAACGAGGAATTAAGTTTATTTACCACAGAATTGATGGGAAGGATTCAGTGTGGCATTTAGAGTCATGGGATTAGTCATTAAAATGCATTGGGTTCTATTCTTAAACTGTGAAGACGAAATTTCTTCGGGTGTATTAAATGTAATAAACATGAACCTTGAAAAGAATATTCCCGCATAAAGTGTTTTCTCCAGGTGTTTGATAAAAAAAAAAAAAAAAACGGAATAAAGTCTTGTTGCGTAGTGAACTGTGTGAGAAATTCTTCAATAATTGATATTCATGTTAGGCTTCAGCATCCTTTGCGTAAAGACAAAGATTGCAAGCGATGTGGACGAAAGAAGGATAAAAGAGGAAGCAGTGAGAGAATAATAAGCAGAATAGAGCAGGAGGAGGAAGAGGAGGAGTAAAAGTAAAAAGAGAGGGAAACAAAAGAAGAGAGAATGGAAGAAGGAGGGAAAGAATAAGGGAAGCGAAAAGAAAGTTAAAAAAAAAAGGAAGGGGAAGCAAAGAGTAGAAGGAGGAGAAAAGATAAAAGTGTGAATGGAAGGGGGGGGGGGGGGCAAAACAAAGGAAAGAGAAGAAAAAACCGTAAAAATTAATAAGAAAGAAAGAAACAACGGAAAGGAAAAGGAGGAAATAAAAAAAGGAGTGAAGAAAAAGATGGTAAAAAAAATGAAGCTAAATAAAGAAAAAAAAAGAAAAAAATGAAGAACTTGAAGAAAGAGAAAACTACAAATATCAGTTGGCTCATTCTAGTGTCATCCTATGAGACAAAAAAATCTTTTAAAATCCCGAAATTTAGATTTAAAAAAAAAAATAAAAAAATAAAATCCTCAAATTCAGTTCCTAGAAGAAAGAATCGTTGATTTTATTTCCACCCGAGATAAAACAGAAGTTTTTTTTTCTTCAGATAAAGCAAATAAAATCCTAAAACGCTAAAAAAGACGGCATTATAATTTTGCAGAGAATTCATTAACATTCCAGGCTTTATTCTTATAATTTAATTCCTTTCTATTGCTGTTGTTTTCTTAACATTTGGCTCAAAATATTCTACATCATTCTGCAGGTGTATAAATTGTAATGGAAAAAAAAAAAAAATGGAAGCTAACCTTCATTTTTTTTTTACAACACAATAAACACGAGTATAACAAATTAAAGGCGGCGGCAATTTGTGTTAATCATCAACAACGGAAAGAAGTTTCAGTTATCGGAAAATAAGGAGAGGTTATTAACTTATTTTTGATAAACAAAGTATTTAAACCAGCTTTTTGGAAATTTGAAATAAAAATATATATATATATATATATATATAATGTAAGTAATGTAAATATATATATATAAAAAAACAAAAGAAAGACAACAAAACTTTCAGAGTCTGGAAAACGATTTCTAGAACAGTTGTAAATCAGAAAAATATTTCATTTTTCCGCTTGAATTTTAAATTCAACAAAACTTACCTGCTGTCAAAAGAGAAGAAAGAAAAAAGTTTTTTTTTCTGTTCATGACATTTGAAGATAATATTCACAGAATTTCGTAAGTAAGCGAAAAAAGTGAATAAGAATAAAAGAAAAGTGTGAATACTTAAGAAATCAACCAATAAGTGACGTAAGTGTTGGTGCTTGATATTGGGATTGTGTAACAAGAAGTGTCACGTGATCAATTGAACCAATCAAAATACAATGAATATCAATGCACAAAGGAGTATCGGACAATGTGAAACCTTCAAGCAGTAAAAAGAATGAGCTTTTCTGGATATCAAGCACATTTGGCCGTACATGCTAGAATCGTTAAACATGCAATAGATGGACATTTGATTATTTTTATTTGGTTTATATTCTTAAATCTTTTATTCGTGAAATGTTTCGTCTTGAGTTGCTTTCCTTTTTTAAAGGAATATTTAAATAAGAATTGGCGAGACAAAATATCTATTGAATTCAAGTTTATAATTTCTGTAAAGAATCAATGAAAACTTGGAAAATGAAGGCATATAAAATACAAATCCGTTAAATGATCATTTTACCGCTTGAGCAATTCTAAGATTTTTAAGATTCTATAAGATTTTATATTTTTAAAAGATTTTAGAAATTAGAAAGTAAATGCACTTTGAAACATTAAGAAAAATTTCGCAAGCGAAAAGACGAAATACGTTATCAAATAAGCATTTAATATCACGTTTAACGTTTATTGAATTATTTTGCTTGCTTTTAAGAAATTATATTTGATTAAAAATTTGAAGAAAAAAATGTTCCGATAAGATTTAGATCAGAATTTTAAGAAGGACGCTAAAAAATGTGTGGTTAGAAATCTTAATGGCAATCGCTCTAAGCGTGCATTGGCAATTGAGGTTTGTTGCCGACATTTCCGGTTTGATATCCACTGGGTGGTAATTGGCATCCAGGTTCCAATTGCACAAGTCTGGTTCGCGCTAAACGCATGCAGTGCTGATTCTTTGCAAGAGGTAAGTAGCAAAAATAAATAAAATGAAAAATATACAAGCTGTAGCGACGGCCCAAGCGAAAGCATTAGGGTGGAAAAACCTGAATAAATACCCCAATTTAATAAAAGGGACCGACCTTGACTCGCGCCCGCAGAAAGAAGAGGAAGAAATGGAAGAGGAAAAAAGTAGACAGAGGAAAGAATTAAAAAAAAAAATGGTGAAAGTATAAACACGAATTAGAAAAAAGAAATATGGTAAGAAAAATAAATTAAAGAGGAAGCAGTGAGTGAAAATTTAAACTTAATTAGTAGGAGGAGGTGTTAAAAGTTCTTTGACTGAACACGTCCCAAATTCAACATTTAAATGACCAAATGTTAGATTTTATAGGGGGGGTTTTCCATGGCTATCTTGGTTGTGCTAATAAGCTTCTGCACTTCCATTTTTTTATATATATATATATATATATATATATATATATATATATATATATATATAGATAGATAGATAGATAGATGAGAGAGAGAGAGAGGTTGCGATGGGTAAATTGTCACCATTTTATATTTTTATTTTCGTGCATGTGCATTGTTTGTTTTTGATTTTGTCGACTGCACAGCATAGTAGGGTCAGTTGGGCACCGTCTGTGAGAAAAAAAAAGCACCGTGACGCAATTCATTCCGCCAGAAAACTGGAAACGGCATGCTGTACCGCTTGGCATTCGCGACGGAAGTTCTAATACAAACATTTCAGAATGTTTGGGTGTCAATCTGAGGACAGTGCAGAGGATTCAGAGTCGGATGGGTCTAACGGTGATTACGAAGCTACGGCATCTCGGAAAACTCACTATGATCGTTCTGATGAGAAAAGAACTCCCGAATTTGCTAGTGAGGGCTTCAGACTGAACACAGAGGTCTACATCCGGTGCCTTGAGGAGGTAGTACTACCCTGGGTCAAGAGGGTGGCTGCTGGAAGACCCTATGTTTGGCAACCGGACTGCACCTTGCAACACAAGTAGGAGAACACAGTCATGGCTGTCAGACAATTTCTTTGACTACATCACCATGTTAAATCTGGCTACCTAACTCCCCAAACTGCAACCCCCTTGATTATTATGTGTGGGGCGGGCGTAGTTAAGACCAACAAAACTCCTCGTAGCACCAAAGATGAACGGAAGGTAAAGATTATGCAGCATTCGCCAACTTAAACAAGGAGACCGTCTAGAAGAATTGCAGAAAATTTCGAAATCGTCTGGGTCTGTGGTTGAAGCTATTGGCGATTTTATTGAATAAATTTACTCTTTAGTATTTCAAGATATTTTCCTGTAATTTTGGTAAATGTATCTGTTAAAATGAGATGTCAGTATTACTTTCATTTATTGCCTCATTTAGACGACAATTTATCCATCGCACCTTGTTTATACATACACATATATCATTGTGTATTTGGGCAGCAATCCCTCTTTTATACAAATTTCATTAAAAACGACTGACAATATTTAATTTTTCTTGTGTCCATGTAATTGT